GCAGTTCAGCGTCTTAACCACTTGAGGCACCGCAGCTCCATATATATTTGATTACTCAGCTTAAAATTCCCTACGCAGTTCATCAATAGACTTCTTCAGGGAATCTGTTAGTCTTTCAGCGTTCCATCAAGAAGAGTACAAGGCCAGTTGCCTTATAATGAATCTGACTCTTGGTCCATTGAGGCCAGTATTGTCTGCTCAGACAGGCAGTGGCTCTCCAGGGTCTCCAAAGAATCTTTCATGCCACCTGCCACCTGATCTTTTTAACCGGAGATGCCGGGAATTGAACCTGGGAATTTCTGCATGCTGAGCAGATGCTCTCCTACTTAGACACCGCCCCTCCCAAAGCTGTAATAACAACTTGCATCAGAGGGCTTGGTCTCTTGTTTCTTTCCATAGGAGGGCAAACAATACAGAGGAAATCAACACAGATCCCTCATTGTTACATGACCAGGGACTCTGGTCATTTTGTTGTATGAAAACGGTCTTTTCAGAGCCATACGAATTAGTATATATAAATAAAGTAAGAGTAGTGGAGTGTGGGGAGATAGCTTCTTTCCTACTCTGTCTATGTAAGATGTAGCCAGTTTGGTGTAGTGGTTAGGAGCACGGACTCTAATCTGGGAGAACCGGGTTTGATTCCCCACGCCTCCACATGCAGTTGCTGGTGTGACCTTGGGTCAGTCATAAATTCTTTCAGAGCTGTTCTCTCACAAGCAGTCCTCGAAAGAGTTCTCTCAGCCCCGCCTACTTCACAGGGTGTCAGTTGTGGGGAGGGGAAGGGAAAGTGATTGTAAACCACTCTGAGACTCCTTTGGGTAGTGAAGGGCAGGTTATAAATCCAATCTCTTCTTCTTCTTCTTTTCTTTGGTTGGGAGAGTGGAGAGCAAAATACAGAGATCAACCCTTTAAGGCTGGCTTAGGTGGTAAGGGACAGCAGATTCGCCTGGGGTCATGGCTGCCTCCAAGGAGAAGAGGAAATCATCCCTGAGTGTGGTTTGTGTGCTGGGGAGGTGTGATTGTATGTGGCATACGTGGAAGTCAAATAATTTAAGAAGTCCCCAAATAGGATCAGTAAGAATGTCCCAAAGTTGTCCATGTTGTCCAAATCAAGTAGTTAGGAACATAAGGGTAGTCACATTCAGTGTTCCCTCTAAGCTGAGTTAGTGTGAGCCAGCTCAGTTTTTTTAGCCTCCGGCTCACACATTTTTATCTTAGCTCAGGAAGGAGGGCTCCAGAGCAAACTAATTTATGCAATAGCCAAATCACCTGCATCCAATTTTAATGCCAGCAGTAGCTCAGAAAATAGAATTTTTTGCTCACAGGGCTTAGAGGGAGCATTGGTCACATTCTGAAGTCATATCATGAAAACCAGGGGGGACCATGAAGAACTGCAGGAGGGAGGAACGATTTGGAAATTCCACCCCTCCAGGTCTCCTCCTCTAAGATTCTATACACTACCAGAGGCATGAGAAGCTCAGTTTCCCACTCTTTCTTCTTTTCTTTTAATTGATACTCAACAGTTTTCAACATTATGTCCCTTTGGGAACGTACTTTGCCCTCATCAAGCTAGTTTGT